AATGTCACGTATTGATCTTTCGAATAAAAAAAATTAATTAAAATTTAATTTTTTTGTGTTATTTTTACAATTTCAAGTTCTATTGGGCTTAAAAAAACACTGTATTTTACTGAACTACTGCCAAGGAAAATAACATCCGAGACAATTTGGATCAATATCTGTGTCTAAGACAATCACCAGAGCTATATGGGATCATACCACAACCTATACCTCCTCCGATGTTCAACTTTTTTGTGAGATGGTATCCTAATCCATACGATCCTGAAATATCCATACTGTAGACCACTTAGTTGAAAACGTGGCTAGAACCAAAAAAAAAAAATGCAAATGTACGGACATTTGATCGGCCGACTTTAAACTTTTCATCGTCCAAAATATTGTTTTTATCCCAACAAAAAGTGAGGCTCGTCTTGGAAAAAAATAATCACCATTTTTTGCTTATGATGTGTAACTTTTGTGAAAGAACCTGAATATTTCCACTGAAAGAAAATGAGAGAGATATGTGCAAATGTAGGAAGAAATAAGTAAATTTTTTTCTTTTTTACTCTCTTCTCAGACAGATTTTCGTTCGAGGAACCTTACAACTTCCTAGATGAGAGTAACGGACCTAAAGTGTGAATACCTGCTATGCTCCAGAGCAGATAAAACTCATTTGTAATTTAAATACAGGCTTGCATTGAATTTGTTTATTAACTTCTTTTATTTATTTTTTTTATTACAGTGGTCAGTTATATGCATTGTTTTTTAATTAATTTCATTTTTTGTTGTTGTAATAAATGTCACATTATTAAAAGTGGAAAGTGGTTTGGTTGTTTTACAGTTAATTTTAGTTTTTTTCTTCTTCTTATTTGGGCAATTTTGAGGGATTTATTTTTTGTGTTTTTGGTTGTGGTTTGTGAGGGGGAAGGGTGAATACGTGTGGATTTATTTCACAATTTTAATCTCTAATTTTGCTGATTTTTTATTTTTTTTATTTTCTTTTCTTAATGTAAATGATTTCTATTAAATTGTTAATGCTAAACATTCAATTGTTTTGATGTAAAACTATTCTTATGACTTTTTCGTTTTATTTTTTTACTATCATTCTTATGGGCATCTATAATTTTTGTTTTCATTCATTTTCGATTTAAATGAGTTTTTTGTTTTGTTACAGCTATTCAATGAAAATTTTTATTCAAATTGTTGAAATTTGCTATGTGCAGTTTTCGAAACTAATTTGAAAATTGAAAATAAAAAATGTAACCTTTACTGTTTTGTAAATAAAATATGATGTTAATATTGGTCAAGTTTTTTTTTTTTTTCATTTGTAAAAAAAACCTTTTATGCTATTATTGTTGTTTAAAAAGTAAATATTTATGTTTTTTAAAATAAATTTTAAAAAATCTTTCACAACTCATATTTCAAAACAAGGTACTTAAAGGAAATAAAACAATGCACAACTCCATTTTAAGTTTTTTTTTTCTGTTTTTGGTTAGGGTTTGGTTTTCAATTCCTTGAGTTCAAAACAATTTAATACTTCAACACATTGCAATAAATACTAAAACAAGAAAAATAACAAATATTTATTTATGGCTATTTGTTGGAAAGTAAAATTTACACTATTTGTTTTTTTATAAGGTCATAGTTTCGGAATGGTCCAAATGGTAGTGGGTGGCGATAGAAGTGGTTTGGTGATAGGGTGTCTCTAGATTTCACACTGAGGATTGTTGTGATCGATTGGCAGTGAATTAGCATACTTAAGGCTAATGTTTTGTTCGCTATATAGTTGTCTTATGTATTCATATAGTTTGTGTTTTCTTTTACGTTTGTTATATGCCTATAATAAACAACAACATCAATGTATGTTTACATTTAAAATGGGGAAATTGTTGTCTAACTTAAAATTGCATTTTTTTGTGGAAAATTAAAATTTTTATTTTTTATTTTTTGTAATCTTTTGTGATTTCATAAAACACCAAACACACTTTGTTCATTCATTGTCGATTATTCAATGGTTATAGGTTTGTTTTTAATTAATTATTATAATATATACTGTTTTAGATATTATTTTTTCTATTTACAAATTAATTTCGATGTTAACACTTTTCTTTTTTTTTCAAGTAATTTGCTAAATTAATAATTAAAAAATATAAATAAATAAAAAAACATTTACTAATGGGGCTTTCTCGAGAGCAAAATATTTACTAACGGGAATTCCAATTAAATATATTTTAAAATAATTTTCTGATTTTTAGTTATTTTCATTTTTTTTTTTTGGAATTTAAGAGCTTCGTCGAATTGAAATCAAATTTTATGCAAGAGTCAAAGGGAAAGAAATTTAAAGGCCATAACTCTTTGTGGATATTATTTAGATCATATGATCGGTAGTTTTAAATTCCGTTTGGAAACTGAAACTTTTTGATTAGTTTCTATAACGTTTTGGAATATTTCTGAAATGAATGCCATTTATACTTCAATATCCATGGTCTTGTTTTTATACCTTCCACCTTCAAATGGATGGCAAATTATCTTTGACATTCCGTTTGTAAATCCTTAAAATTCGTTTGGAAATGTGTCGAAGACAATTACATCTTAATTAGATAGGATGAATGTGTGATTTGTTCCTTTCTCTCAAATGGCTAAAGAGTAATAATCATTAAAAGTATCCCCAATTGGATTTTAAAAAATATTTTGTTTGGAAATAAAACAAGGCGTGAATAAAACTATTTTTTTAAATATTTTCTTGGGATATAAAAAATGCCATGGATTTCTAAAAATATGTATTTTTCGGGGATAAAACAATGCGTGGATTTTTAAAAATATTTTTTTTTTTTTGGGGATAAAACAATGCTTAGATTTTTAAAAATATTTTTCGGGGATAAAGCAAGGGTTGTTTTTTTAAATATTTCTTCGGGTATAAAAAACAAGGCGTGAATTTTTTAAAATACTTTTTCGGGGATAAAGCAAAGGTTGTTTTTTTTAAATATTTTTTCGGGGATAAAGCAAGGGTTGTTTTTTTAAATATTTTTTCGGGTATAAAAACAAGGCGTGAATTTTTAAAAATATTTTTTTGGGAAATAAAACAAGGCGTGAATTTTTAAAAATATTTTTTTGGGAAATAAAACAAGGCGTGGATTTTAAAAAATATTTTTTGGGAAATAAAACAAGGCGGGAATTTTTAAAAAATTTTTTTGGAAATAAAACAAGGCGCGAATTTTTAAATATATTTTTTTGGAAATAAAACAAGGCGGGAATTTTTAAATATATATTTTTGGAAATAAAACAATGCGGGGATTTTTAAAATTATTTTTTTTTTCGGGGATAAAACAAGGCTTGGATTTTTAAAAATATTTTTTTCGGGGATAAAACAAGGCTTGGATTTTTAAAAATATTTTTTTTCGGGGATAAAACAAGGCTTGGATTTTTAAAAAATATTTTTTTCCGAGAAAAAACAAGACGTGAATTTTTTAATTTTTTTTTTCACAAAAAAAAAACAAGGAAACAAGGCGAAGATATTTAAAAATATTTTTTCGATTTAGAGGATATATCGAGGCGTGGATTTTTTATAAAATATTTTTGAGGATAAATCGATTGAGCGGATAAAACAATGCTTGGAATTTAAAAAAGAAAATTTTGAGAGGATAAAACAAGGCTAGGAATTTAAAAAAACTAAATTTTGAGGGGATAAAATAAGGTTCGGAATTTAAAACAAAATTTTGAGGGGATAAAACATGGCTTGGGATTTAAAAAACCAATCTTTTCAGGGATAAAACAAGGCTTGGAATTTAAAAAAACAAAATTGGGGAGATAGAACAACGCTTGGAGCTTAAAAAAAACAACTTCTGGCGAAATGCATTTCTGTGTACGTCCCTATGGGAATCTATTTGGAGATCGATAAACCACCAGATTAAATTTATAATTCAATTGGAAAAAGTATTCGAAACTTTCTTTCATAAAATCGGTTGGTACCGTTATATAGGCGCTATACCAAAATCTATTCAAATTTCAAGCCAACATTAACATTATACGATAATGAGCAACGTTTCAGTTTTCGAGGTAGATCTCTTCAAAAGAAAAGTGTGAAATTGGTCAAAATTGGACAAAGACGCTTATAAATCGAGAACTGAACTTCCGCTTCTTTTTAAACTTGGCGCATCCTTACATTTGTACCATCATTAGATCAAGTGTGAATAGGGGACTGTTCGGCCCATTCCTCCTGATCGGACCACAAAGGGTCAACATTTTTAATAATTTTAACTATCACAAAAGCTGAGTGTATATATCTGTTGGCAAGCCGATTGATGTTTTTAAACCTATTTTATAACGAAATTTTATATAAATAGTACACCCAACGTCACGTACTCGATTTATATTCAACATTGCTTTTCACATTTTCCCTTGGAACTGGTCATAAAGAAGGCCTGTAATCCCACAGAAAATTTCGAAATTGGTCAACTAAACTGAAAAAGAATTTTCGTAACTAAAATTGCATTTTCAGAGATTTCATATAAAAATAAATTAAAAAAAAAAACGATAAAACAATAAAACAAAACATTTTCTTCTTCATTGTTATTTAAACTTAAAACAGTTTTTTATTTAAGATTTTTGTTGTTTTTTATGAACTTAACAAATTTATTATTATTTTTTTATTCTTATTAATTTTATTCTTTGTTTTTCATCTTTAGTTTGCATTTGTTGTCGGTATTATTCATTTATTGAGATAAATAAAGTTTACTTATATATATTAATTCATTTGTTTTTGTTGCATTTTTCATGGATGTTTTTTTTTTGTTTTATAAGAAATCTTACAAACTAAATACTCGTGTACATTGTGATTTTTTTTATTTATTTATTTTCATTTTTTTTTATATATTTTTTTTGTTAGGGGGTGTTGCTTAATCGAAAATTTGTGATGTTGGTTTCTGTATTATTTGGAAATTTATGACTAAAAATTAAATTTAAGGGGAGTTTGGTTTTCTGGATTGGAGTTGTTTTATTTTAATTTCTTGTGGGATAAACAGTTTTGTTTATTAATTTTTTAGGTTGTTGAATCCAAAGCTTTTTTTAATTTAAATATTTTTTTCTATTCAAGTTATTTGGTTGTTTATAATTCATTTGGTTCAAAAAAACAATAATTTTCGCTCGTTCGATTAACTTTCCGGGGGGTTAATTATTTGAATTCAGTAAAGGGTTTTATGGGTTATTGCTGCATTGGAAACCCACAGCAAATCAAATTTAATTTTTTTATTTGAATTAAACTTTGACTAGAATTTATTTAAGTAATCATAAAAAAATAAACAAAAAACTTAAAATCAAACAATTAAAATTAATTTTGTAAAAAATAATTAATAATAATAAAAATTGGTATTTGGTAATGTTTACGATTTATAAGCAGTTTTGTTTTTGGTTGTTTGTGTGGTAGTCATTAAAAATAAGAGTTTTTGTTTTATTTTATTATTTTAGCTACAACTCATCTTAAGATGTTCTTAACATTTAAAATGCATTTAAAAAATACGATTGTTGCGCTTAACCAAAAAAAAACAAAAAAGACGTGTGAGAGAGGGGAACAGTAATGACATTCTTTGGAATTGGAATTCTGGTATAACAAATATTGCTATGTTGGGCCTAGATTTCATTTCTTCTTCTTCTTCATTGAGGAGGATAATATTTCTCTTGTGAGTTTGGTCAGTTTATTGTTACATAGAAAACAATAAAAAAAATATTTATTTTTCTTGCCATTTGTTCCTTCCATCCATCCTAAGCGCGGCAACAACCTAATGACTTCGTTCTACAAAGCTAAAATATTGTTTGGCATTGCACTTTGAATATGAAAGTGGAATGCCAATTTTTTTGGATTTCCTTAATGGCCACCGCTCACTTAGGTGGGACTATCAGCTGCCGAACCCGAAGCGGACATACCATCCGTTAGTTGAGCCAATGTTTTGTATTTTGGGGAATTTATAAACCTAGATTGGGTTATGAAATTGGGTCATGAAATAGGTTTCAATTTAGTTGCGAGAGAGAATAATTTGTAACTCACCTGGGATATGAGTCTCTGAGCATTAGTGTGTAAATTTGTATTTGAGCCTCATCGAATGTGTGCGATGTTGGTTCCATCATATTTCTATTAACTATTTCTCTCACCCTGGCGTCCAGTGAGACTTCGCGCGGCGACAATATGGATATATAATCTTCATAGATCAGACGTGCCTTCTCGCCAATAGCCTCGGCATTGATTTCCCGTTTCAAATCCTCACAGGCCAGCCAAAAGAGGATGTTTTCTTCACTAAATTCGCTGCGCAGAAAATCGCGAAATACTTTTCGTCCGCCTGAAAGAGACGTTAATAAAATAGGTATTTGGATCAAAAAAAAAGAAGAAGTAAAATTAAACTGTGCCCTACATTTATTACCGATGAGCATACTTTTATACCATAATAACCTTCATCATGAAATTAATTAAATTATAAAATATGTTTTGCTTTAAAATTTACTAAAGTTTGGGGGAAAATAAGAATTTGGTCATACTTGAAAACATACACCGATTTTTTCGTTCGCAGCCTTATAGAACAAGACTTGGATTTTTATAAATATTTTTTTAGGATATAACAGGGCGTACATGTTTCAAAATATTTTTTTGGGAGATAAAACAAGGTTTGGTTTTTTTTTAAATACTTTTTTCTAGGATAAAACAATGCGCGGATTTTTAAAAATATTTTTTCAGGAATAAAACAGGGCGTGGTTTTCGAAAAATATTATTTTCGGGGATAAAGCAAGGCGTGGATTATTAAATAATTTTTTTTAAAGGAATAAAACAAGGTGTGGTTTTTGAAAAATATTATTTTCGGGGATAAAGTAAGCCGTGGATAATTAAAAATATTTTTTTCAGGAATAAAACAAGGCGTGGTTTTTGAAAAATATTATTTTCGGGGATAAAGCAAGGCGTGTATAATTAAAAATATTTTTTTCAGGAATAAAACAAGACGTGGTTTTTGATAAGACAAGGGGTGGATTATTAAAAATATTTTTTTCTCAGTGATAAAAAGACATGTATTTCTTAAACTTTTTTTTTTTAATTAAAGCGTGGATTTTTAAAAATATTTCATTTTGGTGGATAAAACGAGTCTAGGAATTTAAAAAATATATTTTTTTTTCGGGGATGAATCATGCTTATGATTTTTAAAAATATTTATTTTCTGGGTCCAGTCTAGGAGTTTTAAAAGTACTTTATATTTTATTTATTATTATTATTATTATTATTATTATTATTATTATTATTATTATTATTATTATTATTATTATTATTATTTTTTTTTTTTTTTTTTTTTTTTTTTTTTTTTGATAAAACAAGTCTAGGATTTTTAAATATATATAGACTTATTTTCGCTTTTCGCACCTCTTATTACATTTAAGATAAAAACTTTTAAAAATTATATATATTTCCCCCACTGGGCAGAAGCGTATACAGACAACTTGCAAAACATATTTTCAAAAGAAAAAAATTGCCGGAGAATTGTATCTCTAAATAAATTTGTAATGCGAACCCTGAAGAGGTTCTCTATACGAAGGACACATATTAGAAGAAAAGGTACGGGTAGGGTAAAGGTATATTATACCAAAACTACCTTCTATAAGAAAAAGGTTTGAAAAAAATCTATTTTCTTAAAGAGAAGCCCTCGACATCTAATTTTATACGAAGAAGGCCTCAGGAAAGTATTGTATAAGAAGGAGAACTCAAGAAAGTTTTTTTTTTTTTAATAGAAGAATACCTTAACCCTTTTCGTTCCGAGATTTAATTTTTGTTTTTGAAATAAATTACTTTTTAGGGTAAGAAGGGCCCACAGATGTAAAAAATTTACTTTCTATGGGGAGGAGGGTATCTTTAGGTGGGCTTTTATTATTTGCTGAAAAATTGCACTTACTTCCTACACAGAATTTTGTTTAAAATTCTTCTTTTCATACATAAATATGTTTTTCACTGTTCGAAAATCGAACAGATGAGCGAAATGGGTTAGAGGGTATTCTGAAAGATGATCCCAAAGAGAAATTCCGTAGAAGATCTCGAAAAAGTCTGCCATAACAAGAGGACCTTAAAGACGTCTTGTATAAAAAATAAGGGTCTCAAAAGGTCCCCTTTAAGAAACAGATCTCAAAATGGATTCTATAGAAAATACCTCAAAATGGGCTTCAGTACGAAGACTTCACCAAAAACGTCTTTTCTAAGAAGAAGACTACGAAAAGGTATTCAGAAGAAGTTATGGAAAAAGTCTTTTAAAAAAAGACCTTTGGTAGTTTTCAATAAGAAAGCAAAGTCTCCATAAGATTAATTTAAGAGAGATCTTCTATAAGAGGGCCTTGAAAAGATCTTCCATAAAAATAAATCCCGGAAAAGGTATTCTATAAGATCCAATATTATTTGTAAACAAAACAAACAAACCTAGTTCGTACCTTATGGTACTTTCGTAACCTTTTTCATCCAATTTTGCAAAATCCCATCTCGTTAAAAAAGGATTATCTGAAAAAATCTCCTCATAAAAACATCATCGTGGGGAACAAAATGTGTATCTTAACAATTGAATATTATAACTTTCCATACATATGGATAACCCAAAAATATAATATATTTTAAAACAGCACTTTAAGAATTCTCGGAATAATCAAAGACAATAAATAACAAGTTCCCCTACAAATTAGAAATATTTTAAACGATAAATACTACTTTGTAGCCTATATATGTGGACTTTGAACTTTGCTCCATTAATTTGTTTGAATATCACCAACAATACTTACTTGGACTGTTCATGAGACTTTCAAAACTACTACCCCAACTGCGAATTTCTTCTAATGAAGGTCTGAAATCAAACACAGAAAATTAATTACAAAATTCAAAATCAATATCCAATTCAATCCAACTTACTGTTCTCCTTCTAGTAATAAATCCGAACTACCAGGATCACGTTTTGTGGGCGCATTGTCTTCCGCATTTTTCAATGCCAAACTGCAAAGAAACACAAGAAAATACCAAATCCATTAATATTTGAAATCATCCACACACACACTCTCAAATTACAAACTTTAGGGTAAAGGCATTCAAAAAGAGCCAAGGCATTTTAACAAAACCGAAATATTTTTTCTAAACGTTTCAGCGCTACACTTCATGGATGGAAAGGCAAACAGCGTAATGAAAATCAGAAACACATTAAAGCTTTTAGGATTTTCCAGGGCCAGCTACTGACTGGTTGGTGGTTAGTTGGTGGGTACATTTGTTGTTGTTATTGTTGTTTTGTACCCCAGTATATGATTTAATCAATGGTGACTCCCGTATCTTGGGCCTTATCTATTGTCATAGACAGATAGGCAGACGATATTCAAATCGTTGGAAAGTTTGACAATGGCGTTGAGTGGGCTATAATAGGGGTGTTTTTGTTCGGTGAAATAGTGTCTGCCTTGGAAATATTGCAATGCATGATTACTCTACTACACTTCAATATTTTATAGGAAAAAAACCAAAAAAGGTGTTTAAAAACAGAATATCGCTATACAATTTTGCTCCTTATCCAAAAAGGGTTCCCCAATTTATTCCAAAACAAATAAAAAAGCTGTTAGTTCAACCGGGCCGAATTTTGAATACCCTCCACCATTCTCAAAAACCATAAAATCCGTTAAAAATTCTGTTAAAATCTTAGAACTACCGAATGTAGCCGTTATATTAGGATCAATGCGACAACATGGACCTGCATAGGTACCTTTTGTCATAAGCCATTACAATATTCAAATGCGAAACGTAGAAAAAAAAATCGGTGAATAATGTAGCTAAAGTCATCAAAATACCGAATATCGGGAGGTACCGTTATATGGGGGCTATACGAAGGCGTGGACCTACACAAAAAATTTTCGGTCTTAGGCTGTAGTATCAATTACGAACTTCAAATACCAAATTTGAAACAATTCCGGTAAATAATGTCGCTAAAATCATCAAAATACCGAATATCGGGAGGTACCATTATATGGGGTCTATACGAAGACGTGGACCTGTACAAACAATTTTCTGTCATAGGCTGTAGTATTCATTTCACAGTTCAAATACCAGATTTGAAAGAATTCCGGTGAATAATGTCGCTGAAATCATCAAAATACCGAATATCGGGAAGTACCTCTATATGGGGGACATACGAAGACGTGGACCTGCATAGACAATTTTCTATCTTAGGCTGTAGTATCCATTACGAACTTTGAACACCAAATTTGAAACAATTCCGGTGAATGACGTCGATGAAATAATCAAAATACCGAATATCGGGAGGTACCTTCATATGGGGGCCATACGAAGACGTGGACCTGCATAGACAATTTTCTATCTTAGGCTGTAGTATTCATTACGAACTTCAAACACCAAATTTAAAACAATTCCGGTGAATGATGTCGCTAAAATCTCCAAAATACCGAATATCGGGAGGTACCATTATATGGGGGCTACACGAAGACGTGGACCTGCACATACAGTTTTCTGTCTTAGGCTGTAGTATCCATTACGAACTTCAAATAGCAAATTCGAAACAATTCCGGTGAATAATGTCGCTAAAATCAACAAAGAACCGAATATCGGGAGGTACCGTTATATGGGGGGCCATACGAAGACATGGATCTGTACAGACAATTTTCTGTCATAGGCTGTACTATTCATTTTAAAGTGTAAATACCAAATTTGAAAGAATTCCGGTTAATAATGTCGCCAAAACCAACAAAGAACTGAATATCGGGAGGTACGGTTATATGGGGGCTATACCAAAACTTGGACCTACATGGCCCATTTTCAATAGCAAAAGTCCTCCAGATATAATATACATTTGAATAAAATTTTATCACTCTACTTCAATTCGTTCGGAAGCTAGAGTGATTTCCACAGACGGACAGACGTATATCGGACATCGCCAAATCGACATAGAATTTTATGCTGATCAAGAGTATATACACGTTGTGGGTCTAAAATGTATATTTCGATGTGTTACAAACGGAATAACAAACTTAATATGCCCTCCATACTATGGTGGAGGGTATACAAACAGAATAAAACCATTTGTTTTTAATCCAAAATAAAAAATCCCAATTTATTCAAAAAAAAAATAAAAAATTAAAGATAATTTCTCTCCATGTAACATTGATGTACACATTCCGAAAATCGCCAACAAAAAAAAACCAACCGAATAAATATTTACATTCTGTTGCCAGGAGCAACAATTTTTTGATTATTAAAATGTGGCCCTACCAGTTTTACTCACACACACTACCACAACTATTGGTTTAATGTGATTAGGATAACTATTGGAGCTACTATCGATTTTGATCGATTCATGGACGACAAAAACAATAAAAAAAAACAACAACAGCTGTTTATAGTTTTTGTTTAGGCAGTGTCTGATAGTAAATGCTAAGCGCGAATCTTTTTTAGGGGATTTTGCTTTTTTGTTGTTGTTTTTCTCTCTTATTTTTGTTTTTTGTTTGTTTTGTTTACAAATAATATTGGATGTACTTGGATGTAATAATCTTATCAGCAATTAGCAATAACAATTGATTAAGTGAATTTGCATATACCGAGGACAGTCGGGGCCAACTGTTGTTAATGGCATGGAATTTTTTTCTGCAGAAAAATGAGAATCAAAACAAAACTTCTGCTAAATCACGGGAGGAACTTATATACGGGTTATATACCACCAATATTTAAATCAATATGGAAATTATTTGTCACCAAATAGGCTCGGTATGACAAAAGGGTTACGGCTCTTAAATAGGATTGAATAGAAGGTTCTATATCTGATCCGAGAGATTTCAGCGAACTTAAGCAGAGCAGAGACAAAGTGTATTTTCCTATACCAAATATCATTATTATTATTATTATTATTTTTTTTTTTTTTAGTATGGATCACTCTGTTTTCGGACAGCTGTTTTGCAGTTTGGCGTTGTTTAGGAAATCATCATAACAACGCTCCAAAATCGGGGGAATTTATTTTTTCAAAAACTGTGTTTAATCAAAAAAATTTGTAAAGCATTTCGTGATTTTATGGTGCACAAATCGTCTGTTTGAGACCACCATTAATAACAGAATTATAAGTACATACAAGAATATATTATTGTCGTTGAGGCCAAAATCGAAAAAATTGGCAATATATCGGTTCGTCGTCGTGCGCTGGTAGTTGGACTTTGTCCATCGACTTTATGGAAAATTTTGCGTAAGGATAAAACATTAAAGAATTAGTGTTCAAAATAAATGAATTAAAAGCAGAATTGAAGCCACACCATCATTACCATGTGCGCCGTGAATTTAGTAATTGGTCCCTTAATCACTTAGACGAATACCGCATTTTTGGTTGAATGATTTGACGCCAACCGATTATTTTTCGTGGGGATACATCGGGGAACATTGGTTTACTTGGATCAACGTGGATCAAAAGATTGACGCATTGGAAACCAATATTCAGGGTGTCATTGCTGAAACACGCCCTCAAATGTTTGAAAAGGTGATCGAAAATTGGATCTCCAGAATTACTTTTGGCAAAATAGTCGTGGTGTCCATATGTCCGAAATTATATTTAAATGTTAAATGGCAAGAAAACATCTACCAATTATTCTTTTATACTCTCAGCCATATGGCCATAAAGGGTATATATCATTTGATACGATCAAAACGTGCCTCATCGAAATAACGCTTTTAGACCATGGGTCTTTTTGGACCAAATCCGTTTCAGGGCATTTGGAGTCGATCTAGGGATGTTCGTCCGCCCGTCTGTCCGGCTGGCAGGTGCGCACGATAACTCTCGAAAGGAGTATCCAATTTGATCCAAACTTGGTACATCGTAATATTATTATCAAACTTAGATAGAGTTCAGAGATGGGCAATATCGGCCCACCCATTCTTGTACCTCCCCCACAAATTTTCAACATTTTAAGAAAATAACTTACTGCACACAAAGATAAAGAATGACCCGATTTTGCTCCAACTGTGCAAATCCTAATATTTGCATCAGTGCGACGTCAGGTGCGAAAATGGACAATATAGGTCCACTCCATCAAATACCTCCCCCACAAAGGCTCAAAAGGTTGAATAATTATAAATCTTACAAAATATGATGTAAAAGTCCGATTGTCTTGAAGTTTCACACATCCCAATATTTTTATCAACCCAAGGTCTGGTGTTAAGATAAAATATATTGGTTCGTTCCTTTTGGTACCTACCCCACAAAACGTCAACATTTTCAAAAAATGTTTGACACCACAGAAAGAGAAGGGATCATCCGATTTTGCTCCAATTTTGCAAATCGTAATATTTGTATCAGTGCTAGGTCAGGTGGGAAAATGGACAATATCGGTTCACTCTATCAAGTACCTGCCCCATAAACAGTTAAATTTTTTAACAATTATAACTCTTATAAATTGTGAGGTAAGTGCCCGATTGTCTGTTCAAATTGCACACATCGCAATATTTTTATTAACCCAAAGTCTAGAGGGAAGATGGAAAATATCGGTTCACTCCTTCTGGTACCTCCCCCACAAAGGGTCAAAATTTTGAATATTCATGAAGCTTATAAAACACAAAATTAACATCTGATTCCGTTCAGCCTTCGTACATCTCAATATTTCTATCAACAAAAGATTTGTAACAAAGATAATAGAGATCGAGCCATTCCTTCTGGTACCTCTCCCACAAAGGGTCGGAGTTTTGAATAACCAAAACTATTATAAAATCCGAAATAAGCATCCGGTTCCCTTCATAGTTCACACTTCCCATTATTTCTAATAACACTAGATCCGATGTGGAGATGGAATACATCGGCCCACTCCTTCTGGTACCTCCCTCACAAAGAGTCAACATTTTGAATATCCATGAAGCTCATATAACGCGAAATTAACATCCGATTCCATTCAGACTTGGTAGATCTCAATATTTCTATCAATACAAGGTTTGTTATAAACATGGTAGAGATCGGAGCATTTCTTCAGGTA